GTATGTATGTATGTATGTATGTATGTATGTATGTATGTATGTATGTATGTATGTATGTATGTATGTATGTATGTATGTATGTATGTATGTATGTATGTATGTATGTATGTATGTATGTATGCATGAATATATGTATGTATGTATATATGTATGTATGTTTTAAAAGTCATGTGGCATTTTTGACTCGTGTACGGGGACGTATACGGGAAATGGGTGTTACATCAATTCTTAAAAGAACATTTAATTCAGTTGATATTTAAAGAAATTATGGAAAAGTTTTGGATTATTATGTAATTTTTTAATAGTTGATGTACTATGCTGGAAATTAATGTTTGAGTGTTTGAATTGAAGTTAGGATGTGAAATTGGATTATTTTGGAAAGCTTGTAAAAGTTTAAGTTTAAATCACAAATATTGAAAGGTTGGGAGCTTAAGTGCAAATGTTATGTGAAGTTGGGATAAAAAGAAACTTTAGTGGTCAATTAGAAGTATTAAGGTCAACATTTATGTTGTGACGTGGAAATTATACCGAATAAGTAACGAAAAATTTGTTAGGAATTTATTTTCTAAAGTATGCCTATATTAGTAAGATTCTAACATTTGGTTTGAATTTGTATATGTTTGGTAATGATGTTCATTTAGATTGAGTGCTTAAAATCAAGATCAAATATTATTAAAGCTAAGGAGAAGCTTAAGGATGAAATGGGAAATTCTAAGGAAGTTTGCAAGCAAAGGACAACAGGTGAGTGCAAATTTAATTTGTAATTATGTTAATATTATTAAAGCTTAAGGATGAGTCAGTGATGGAGTTACTATGGTAGGAAGTGACTCCTAAAATTTTATGTGATTTGTGATGAATGCATGTATGTGCATTTGTTGAGCTAATAGAATTAGTGAACAAGTTGAAAATGCAAATTGGTAAAATCTGCTTAGAATTTATGTTTTGGACAGTAAGTTTAGAAAATTGCCAAATATTCTAAAAAATTATTAGAGGATGATTTTTATACCATTGGATTATTATACCAATTTAGTTTTGTTTAGAACAAACATAAACTGATTTCAAGGTGTATACAAAAAGATATGAATTTTTAACCGATGATAGGTCAGAAAACTGAGCAGCAGATTCTGCTCAAAATAGATTTTGTCGATCAACTTTGAAAATTCACCATAAATTGTACAAATTGAAATAGAAGGAGTTTCTTATATGGATAGATTATTATTTGAGTCCAGTTTACATTGGTATTAACCGAATAATTTTTAAAGGTGTATATTAATATAGAATAATATTTCTTTAAAGATTGTACAAACTACCAGGATATGAAATTATGACCAATTTTTGGGATTTAACCAAATTAGAAGCAAATATCAAGTTAAAGTTTAGTGAGGCTTATATTTTGACTTGTATATAATGTCAAAACGAGTACAATGCATGCATAACATTATACATGGATGTTCTATACATCATCGGGTAGGACTTGCGATGAGTTTACCTTAATTATGTTGGCATGATATTTATGTCATTCATCATATATTTGTCATATTCTAAATATGTCAAAGGTTGAATATAAAATACATTGATCACTAATCGTTACATATGATGTTTCTCATGAACATGTATGATATTTAACATGAATGATATTTTGGGTATGAACTACCCAATGTTAAATTATGATAAGATACTTTTCTATGGATGGATCAAATAAAATAGATTGTATGCCCAAGTAAGTCATTAAAGGACAGGGTGTAATTGGCATGCCATGGAGTCTAGCAGCTACATAATAGGATTAGCACTAATGTGTAAGGACATTTAGTGCAACACTATAGCATGTAAGGGCACTAAGTGCATATGGTGGGCACGACCTTATATGTATTATGGTGGGCACGACATTATGTGTATTACGGTGGGAACGATATTATATGTATTATGGTGGACACGACCTTATGTGTATTAGCACTTCGGTGCATATTTGACTCGAATACCCAGGGTCTTTATATTTGGTTATTGTTTATTGGTTAATAAATGATAAACATGCAAATAAGCTTACGAGCTTATGGGATAAATGGAAAGTATATTGGTAAGAAACTTTATATTTGGTTATATCATGTTAATTTATGGTAACATGGTTGGAATGCATGTAAAGTGATCACATTGCATTGAATATAACTACTCATTTATATGTATATGTTGCATTGCTTTGAATATTTATAAAATTGCCTCACTAAGTGTATACTTAGCTTGTGATGATCTTCTGAATAAACATAATCAAATATTGTCTACTTACAAGGAGAGCATAATGCTAATAGTGAAGAAATTGATCATCTAGTTTGTAGAGATATCAACTTGTTCACTCAGAAATTTTACGTGGACTCTTCAGTTTCATATTACCTACAATTATATATGAATGATACATGATTATGTTATTGCATTTGTTATATAGGATAGTTTCATACATTATTTTATTTTATTTTATTTATACCCTTTTTACTGGTTTTGTTAATAACAATGTTCATTTGAAGTTTGTTCTAGTTTAATTGATTATGCACAAATAGATTAATTGATTATGTTTGTGCAGGTTTATTTAAAGACTTCCAATGGTGATAAATTGGTTGAGGCATTGCACTCTAAAGTAAAACTATTCCATCACATGATTGTAAAGCAACCAAATAAAATTTATCTTCTATATTTTTAGGGTAAATTACATCATTCCTAACTGAACTATATTCTCTCTCCTATTTATTCATTGTACTTTTAATTTTTCTAATTTACTCACTGAACTTTCGAATTGCTCATGTTTTGATCACTCTGAATTATTTTATTATTATTTTTGAATAACATGACATTTTTATTATTATTTAATGTAAAATAATTGAAAATATAAAATAAAAACATGAGGCGGCCAGACTCCACAGCCGACTGGTAGACGGTGATCGTTCGGTCCAAAATTTCATGGGTTGCTTCGTCTCGACACCCTGAGTCTGAATCCGCCCTCCATTTTTTCGGAACTTGTTTTGAAGCCCACGAATTAGAGATCGAAAGTGAGGAAGCCAAAATAGCTCATTCGATATTCATGGGTTTTGGGACATTTGTTGGTGAAACAACCACCAGATTCGGATTCAAGAGTCGAGACAAAGCAACCCATGAAATTTGGGATAGAACGGCCACCATCTACGATGGCGTCCGACCACCTTTTGTTTTATTTTATATTTTCAATTATTTTATATTAAATAATAATAAAGAAGGCCATGACATATAAAAATAATAATAAAATAACTCAGCGTAATCAAAATAGGAGCAATTCGAAAGTTCAGTGAGTAAATTAAAAAAATTGAAAGTACAATAATTAAAATAGGAGAGAGAGTCTAGTTCAATGAGGAATGGTGTATTTTACCCATATTTTTATAACAGTTGATGTTACTTTCACATTAGCACAGATTTCCTTATGTTATATAAATAAATGATTTTTTCATCTTTCTTTTCTTAGAGATATGAATCTTCATTTATTTGTTTAGTTGTTGAAGGATGTTTTTTCAATTTCTGAAATTAAAAATTGAAAGAAAAAAATAGATCAAATTATGAAAATAGTTACCATAGTAGTTGCAATATAGATTTTGTCTTGCTTAAAGTTCATTAACAATTTAGTACCTTTAAATTTCAATATTTTAATTAGAAATGCCTTAGAAAATTTAACAGCGGGGAAATTTTTTTAATAATGTGAATGAAAAAAATCATAAAATAATACGATTCTGAAATTATTTATTTGAATGAAGTATTTGCTATACTAATTATGGGAGACATATGGACCACCATGCAACTTTCAAACTTAAATAGGGAAGACGCCAAGATTACAATGCCAATCCCCAACTTTAAAAAGCATTTACCATTCTTTCTTAATATTTGCCATTCTTTCTACGCCAATATCTACATATATTAGGTTAGATATTTTTGGTAAATATATACTAACATTGGTTTTTGACAAGCGGGAGAGCAAAACTCCCCTGAATTTACAATGTAAAGCGCAAGGAATACAATGTGACTCCCATGAGTCGTAGTCAGTATAATGCGACTCCTGTTCTTACTGTAACATTCATCATATCCGAGCAAATAATTTAAAAATACATTATTTCAAAAAAAAATTCTCACATCATTATTTTTATTTTTATTTCCATTTATTAGCAATGTTCAGATAAATAAATTTGATTCATGAACATTGTATAGGAATGTTGATTAAATTAACATTATTTGTTAGCAATACTCAATGTTTTTTTAACTTTTTTGCAGCAACCGGAAACATATCTTGAAAATAAAAATTAAAGACATAAAAAAAGTTGTGCAAGTGATTGGGCATCTTGGTCAAGATGATGTAGCAATAAGAATGATAATGAAAAAGATATGATTTGCAATAACAGTTGAATAATCTGCAAGATTTGGAGTAAACAAATAAAGTTTTTTTTTCTTCTTAATGTTATTGGAAGTTGTAAAAGTTTTACAGGTGCTACATTACCTATTGATGAATTGAAGATTACTTATAACCAGCCAATGAATAGGCACAAACAATAATATATGTATACTAACAACCAATTAATCTAATAGAATAAGATACTAGATTCTTTAGATAAGGTTATGAGTTGAATTCTGATATTTGTAAATAGAGCAAACTGAGTTGGAAATATCTCTTTTGTCTCTTATATACAATCTAAATTAATTGATTTTAAAAATTAAATTTTAGAAAAATTAGCAAATAATAACGTAAAATAATTTACACAACATCATCTAACTATAAAAAAATTATTTTTTTAAAAATATAATTTATTTTCTAAAAATTATTTTTCCAAAATTGTTGTTAGTGAAATTAACATATACCGAGTTTCGGTATAATCGGTGGTTCACGAGTGCAAATAAACAACACCGATAACTTCCAAACTGCGCAACTTCCATCCATGTGAATCCGTTTCTAACACTTCCATTATTTTAAGAAAGAAAAGAAGAAGGCTTTTTGCCAAAGCAAAAAAATATTGTCTCCTTGTCAATCAATGGCTTGGTACGAATGCTTTATCTCAAATTTCAAAACCAACAAAGATACCCACGTCCTCCATTGATGCTCTGCAACGCTGCAAATTTCTCTACTTCAATCATTGGTTTGTGACTTTCTCTTTTGACCCACTTACGAAAATTGTTTACTTTTACGCTTTAGATCTCGAAAATGTGCTCGTATTAAGCAATTCACAATCAACAAGTTTGATGGCTCTTTTTCAAAACTCATGGTCTTTTTTTGCGTTCTGTTGACTACATCCGCCATTTTACTTTTCTTGTATTTTTTTTATAGTGACTATGGATAAGTTTTTATTGCTAACACATGACGTGCTTGTTTATTTGTCTAAGTCATTAGGAAACAAATTGCAAGTTTAGTGTAATTGTAGTTCCAATGAATTTTTAGCTGACAAAGCTCTTCTTAAGCTGTTTTAAGGTCGGTGGAGTGGAAGCTTACGTTTCTGAATTGATCTCTTTAATTTTGGAAAAGGAAAGGGTTGAAGTTTCTGGAAAAATCAAATTTGTACATATCCTTTCAAGTTTTCTTTTTCCTGCTTCCATATATATTTGTGGTGAAGGCTTGCTTCTGTGGGTTTTTATTTCTTTTTTGGGTTCGGTGGCGTCCTGTTTTTGTTTTTGATTGCTTGAGATAGATTTCTTGTGCTGCATAGATATATTGGAAAGGACTTCAGAATTTCATTTCTTGATTGCTGTTGTTATTGTTGTTGTTTGTGATTATATCTGGGCGTTCTTTTTCCAGGTATTCTTTTATTTGGCCTGTAGTTTCTTACTTTGGTTGGTGATTACCGGAGGAAGGAAGCGATATTTATTCGGAACTCGGAATTTCTTAGGTTGATGGGGGGTAGTAGTTCGAAGGAGGGAAATTGGAGGCAGAGTTCATCATATCATTCGAATCCATCTTCATGGGATTCTGATCAAGGGTATCCTCGGACATCATATGGACAAGAAAGCCATACTTATGCGCATCAGTATAGCTATGCATCCCCACAATATTATCCACCTTCACAACCCGAATCGCAGTACTATCCACCTCCTCAACCCGAGCTGCAGTATTATCCACCTTCACAAGATCGTGGAAGTGATAAAAAGAGGCTACAAAGGAGGTATTCCAGAATTGCTGACAATTACAACTCCTTAGATCAGGTTAATATCATCCAGTGGTTTATTTTCTATTGTTGGTGTCTGGTGAAGTCGAATGAAACTTTTAAGTCACACACATCATCTCATTGATTGCAGGTAACTGAGGCACTTGCTAATGCTGGTCTTGAGTCTTCTAATCTCATTGTCGGTATCGATTTAACAAAGAGCAACGAGTGGACAGGTTAAAATCAACTTTTTAATTGCTAGTAATGTGTGCTATTAGCCATAGTAGAACTTGCTCAATCTGGTTTGTTTTGTAGGGAAAAAATCATTCAATAGAAGAAGTTTGCACCACATTGGCGATGATCCAAATCCCTATGAACAAGCAATATCAATAATTGGAAAGACATTAGCTTCCTTTGACGAGGACAATTTGATACCTTGTTTCGGATTTGGTGATGGTAAGAATTTAATTTATTTTCCTTCTCAGGATGTTTGTTAAATGCAGATGATAAGAATTACTTGCATTTGTTGGCAGCTTCAACACATGATCAGGATGTCTTCAGTTTCTATCCAGATGAGAGATTTTGTAATGGATTTGAGGAAGTCTTGAGCCGCTATAGAGAACTTGTACCTCATCTACGACTTGCAGGTTTCCGTTACACTACTTTTTTTCATCCGTTTATTTTGAATAACTTTCTAAAGCTTATCTAATCAAATAAATATTACAATTTCTTCTCAGGCCCTACATCATTTGCTCCAATCATTGAAATGGCTATGACCATTGTTGAGCAGAGCAGTGGCCAGTACCACGTCTTAGTGATAATCGCGGATGGGCAGGTATCTTTTTCTGTCTTTGTGTTTATACTTCATTTAGGCTTTAGAGATTTCGATGTAATACTCAGGTAATTAGCTTTAAAGCAAAAAACGAGCAGAGGGGGCACTTTTGTCTAGATTGGCATGGGATAAAATGGATATATAAATGTCGGCATGATGGTTTACTGAACTACTTACAATTTTTCTTGCATTGCATTGTTACTTCTGTTATTAAACTTTTGATGATTGTTTTCCAGGTGCTACTGTAGTTTCAGACAGTTCTAATCCTTAATACTGATGGTTGTTTCAGGTAACTCGAAGCGTTGATACTCAGCGTGGCCAACTAAGTCCACAGGAGCAGAAGACTGTCGATGCCATAGTGCAAGCAAGGTGAACCTAGTGTAACCTTTTTTCATCCTTTTCTTTTTGCATACAGCCGTTTTCTTTTTCACATGTTTCTTCTATTACAGCAAGCTTCCTCTGTCAATTGTATTGGTTGGTGTTGGAGACGGACCTTGGGACATGATGGAGGAGTTTGATGATAACATTCCTGCCCGAGCATTTGATAATTTTCAGGTAAATTCTGAGTGCATGCAAGATATTTCACGGTAGATATTGATTTTCTTTTATCCGTATGGTATTAGCAACGTGCTTCGGGTATTAATTTAATTTAATTTTTCTAAATTTTCAATCCTCTTTCTCTTAGTTTGTGAATTTCACAGAGATCATGTCAAAGAACATAGCCCTGTCACGAAAGGAGACAGAATTTGCTTTGTCTGCTTTAATGGAGATTCCTTCACAATACAAAGCAACCATCGAGCTTAATATTCTCGGGTAATAGTTAGTTCTCTATTAGTCATTCTTAAAGGCAACCATTTCGGATGGTGATTTTCAATCCATTTGTTGTGCAGTGGTCGAAAGGGAAATATTCCCGAGAGAGTTCCATTAGTACCTCCTACATATGGTGCACCATCTTTCAACACCTTGAAACCTTCCCGTTCTGCCGCTTTCCAATATGGTTACATATCTTTCAGCAGCCCAAAACCACCTCCACCTACCAGCTTCAAACCAAGCGTCCCTCCTTATCCTGAAGATACTAGTCCTGTCAACTCTGCTTCACCAGCTCCAAGTTCTACTTACGATAGCCAGGTACGACATTGCAGTTGTTTAGTCGGTCCATATATCTTCTACCGATTAGGCTCATGCATTCAAATTTCGAGTTGAAACCCAAAAAGACCAAATGCTTTAAGATTATGAACTCTGCGAGGCTCATGTCCTTTGCTGTTGTTTTGCGCAGGTTTGTCCCATTTGCTTAAGTGACCCAAAAGACATGGCATTTGGATGTGGACATCAGGTAATGTTTTTTATCTCTTGGGAATCCTTGGATTTTAGATTATAGCAGATCCAGTGCTGACATATATTAACCTTTTGATCTCTCAGACTTGTGAAGAATGTGCGAAAGACCTCGAAACTTGCCCGATTTGTCGAAGTGAAATTCAAACCAAAATAAAGCTCTACTTGTGATTTTTTTCTTGAAAAAGAAAACTATACTTCCTCATGATCTTTTTTATTGATTAATTTCTTATTATAGTGGGTACATACCATTTATAATTTAAATTTAATATAATATTTTTTTATTCGAGTTGGACCAAACATGTGTTCGAGTTTTATTCAAATTTAAATGTAATTATTTATAATCTTATGGTATTGGTTGGCTTGAATGTAAATGAATTACTTTAGCCATATACATATATTTATTTTATAATTATTTTCGCACGTATAAGCAAGATTTATAATGTTATTTAATAAATTAAATAAATCTAAAATTATAATACATATATATATAATTTTATTTTTAAAAAAATCATGAAGACAAAAATATTGAGGAAATATAAAGAAGTAAGGAGTGGATGGTAAGAAAGAATTTTAAACAAAAATTACAATTAGAAGATCAAACTAAATAAAATGTAAAATTGAAGGATTAAATTATAAAAAGAAAAAATATTCTGTCAAAAGAAGAATTAAATCTATATAGAATTGAATCATGTGATTGGAAAGCATGGACTAAAATAGTGAAATTTGATCAAAATGTATTTAAACCGAAAGAAAAAAAATAAAACAAATAAATTAAAAGACTTAATATGAAAAGCATCCTCAAACTAGCTTAGTTAACGAAAGCATGGTTTTGGTCAGTAATTTAAATTGTCTAATCATAAAAAAAATATTTATTTTGTGGTGATACCGTTATATTAGTGAAATATGAAATGTGGTCAAATGAGTCTAGTGATTAACTTAGCTTAATGGTTGAGTGCCTTGCCTTATTGAAGTGTCTAAAGTTCAATTCATGTTGGGATCAATAATAATTTTTTTTCATTTTATCTTCAAAGGTGGTGGCACATGTCACCACTTAATTGATTGAATAAGATTAATTAAAAAATACTAATAGGAAAATGTGATGTGAAAATTAAAAACAAAATTACTTATCATGTCACATCAACTTTGTCTTTAAATTTTTAATAGCATGATATTAAATTGAAATTCAAACCAACGTAGAATATTTTTATTTAAATTTGGTGAAAGGATGGATTTAAAATTAGAGAGTAATTAAAAAAATAAGAAATTGAGGATCAAATTACATAACAATTAAATTGTTTATTTAAAGACTAAAATGACATCGTTTTATTTTTTATTTTTTTTAATTATTCAAATTTTAAAAATTGAAATTCAACTCAAATTTAAAAATTTTAAAAATTGAATTAACTCAAATAACCTAAAATTTAAAAAATCATTTTTTTAAGAGAAAATAACCTCAGTGACCAAAAATGCCTTATAATATACAATTTTAACCAACTTTTTTTGGATTTTCCAAAATGACCAACTAAATCGCAATCCGATCGATAATTCGCAACGCGATCTTCGGTATCACAAATCAGTTTCCAGATTCGCAACGCGAACTTCGACTATCGCAATGCGATTTACATATTCGCATTGCGATAGTCGAAGTTCGCGTTGCGATTTATTACAAATTCGTTGCGATAGTCGAAGTTTGCGTTGCGATTTTCCAAATTTGTTGCGATAGTCGAAGTTCGCGTTGCGATTTTTCAAATTCGTTGCGATTTTCCAAATTCGTTGCGATAGTCAAAGTTCGCGTTGCGATTTATTCCAAATTCGTTGCGATAGTCCAAGTTCGCGTTGCGATTTATTCCAAATTCGTTGCGATAGTCCAAAACCGCAACAACTGGTGGTATTGCATTTGTTTCTTAAGAATTTTCTCTAAAAAGATAGTATTCGCGCGGACGTGTCGAAGACAAGTATTATCACGACCACGACCCGAGACGAGACGAGACGAGATGGACGGCGGCGCGCAAGAGTCCCCCTTGTTCTCTATCACTCAACAAGGAAGTAGGAAAGCCAAGCCTTAAATACCATTCCCAATAGTGTTTCCAATTCTATATGGGATTGAGCATTACCAACACTTGTTTCCAATACAATGTGATTATTCAGGAAATATTAACAATCATGCACCTTAAAACAACCGAATCAGCAACCAATTGCATTAGTATTATACGATTAAATATGTCATAATTAAAAGTCAATCTACAATCAATCGCGATTATTGCAATTTTAAGCAAAACATTCAAAAATAATATCACTATTTAAGGCTCAATCCCACATAGTATTGGGAACAAGTGTTGGTAATGCTCAATCCCACATAGTATTGGAAACACTATTGAGAATGGTATTTAAGGCTTGGCTTTCCCACTTCCTTGTTGAGTGATAGAGAACAAGGAGGACTCTCGCGCGCCGCCGCCGTCTCGTCTCGTGGTCGTGGTCGTGGTCGTGGTAATACGTGTCTTCGACACGTCCGCACGAATACTATATTTTTAGAGAAAATTCTTAAGAAACAAATGCAATACCACCAGTCGTTGCGATTTTGGACTATCGCAACACGAACTTCGACTATCGCAACGAATTTGGAATAAATCGCAACGCGAACTTCGACTATCGCAACGAATTTGGAATAAATCGCAACGCAAACTTCGACTATCGCAACGCGAACTTGGACTATCGCAATGCGAATATGTAAATCGCAATGCGATAGTCGAAGTTCGCGTTGCGAATCTGGAAACTGATTTGCGATTTATAGATCGCGTTGCGATTTAGTTGGTCATTTTGACAAATCCAAAAAAAGTTGGTTAAAATCGTATATTATAAGACATTTTTTGTCACTGAGGTTATTTTCTCTTTTTTTAAATCAATATATATTACTCACCCCTAAAGCAAACTAGAAAAACTAACTCAACAATAACCCGACCGAACCCAATAGCATACGAACATAAGTGTCTCAAATTCAAGTAGGTATCTCAAATTAAGTAGCATACAAACGTAACGAAGTTGTAAAAACCAATCATTCTTGCCTTTTTTCCCTGCATTAACCCTCCTTTAAAGTTTCTTCGGAGGAAAACTCATGAGATAACAAAGCATGATCACAATTAAGAATGTGAAATCAAGTAATTGTTTATGTTTCAGTCGAATCTTGTCAAGTGAAGTTAAATCGGATATAAGTTGAGTTATCTGAATTTAATGGTTCGACTTGGATCAGGTTGAGTCGGGTCATATCAGTTCGGGTCATTTTCAGATTAATTTGACATCAAATTCAGTTCGAGATCGATTCAGATTAATTTCAATTCGGATCGATGTCAATTCAGATCAAAATGATTCAGGTTTGAAGCAGTTAAATACCAGGTTAATTCATGTTCGGATGGACTTCAGTCGGTTCTCGTTCAGATCGGATCACATCATTGATAGACAAAATTTATAGAGTTGGTGAACAAAAGTTTATAGAGTTTAAAGATTATGATATAATTTATAGAATTTGAAATGAAGTTTATTATGTGATTTATAGGGTTTAAAGTAAATTACAAAAATATAAATAAGTATGAGCAATTTCAGATTCAAATATAATTTTAATGACAAAATTAAATAAATATGAAATTATAAATAAAGAAAGTATATATATATATATATATAAGTATATACACAAGTATAAAGTATATATATATATACTTAGAGGCACAACTACAATTAGACTAGAGGGGGCCAGCTCCCTCAAAATTTGGAAAAATTATTATAAGACCCTTCAAGGTTTATAAAATATTTGAAAAGAAAATATTTTTTCTTAAAATTTTCAAAATTTCATATTAATATACATAATACTTATATGTTTATAAATGAAATTAAATTAATATTCTCAAAATATAAAATTTATATATATAATTTAAATTCTCATAAATAAAACTCACAAATATATGAATTTAAATTTATTTATTAAAATATTATTTTTTTACTTCTAATAGATTAAAAATAAAAATTTATATTATATAATTAGTATACCTATAAATTTAATTATTTTTAGTTTTTATTTCAGTATTATTTTTTAAATTTCTCAAATCATGATTTTCTTCTTTTTCCCTATTTTTATAATACTTTCAAATCAAATAAAATAATAAAAATTAAATTAGAGAGACCAAAATTTGATTTTTCTTCAAAATTTTAATTGATGAAAATTAAAAAATTTCAACAATCTCTCATAATATTTTAAACACTTTTAGGCTCTTATTTTATTCTATGAATAAAGGTAAATTCCTATTAATTTTCTCAATATTTTAGGTGATCCATCTACAATTTGAGTGTCAAAGTATGCTACTATAATCTCATTTCATTTTCTTTCCAAGAAGATCTTAGTGGAGAATATATAAAAAAAACCCTAATAAATTTACATTTGTTTAATGAAATCACACATAAATATATGAGATTTAATATATAAAGTTATTTTTTTATTTTTCATAATTGGTCCCTCCAAAATAAAATGTCTAATTCTGCCACTGTACATACTTATATATACAAGTATAAAGTATGTACATATATAAGTATATACAAATATATATATTATATATATATATATATATATATATGTAAGTACTTATAAACTTATACTTATACTTATATTTATACATACATATATACATACATATATATATATATATAATATACATTATACATAAGATTAATCAAATTATAATTTAATTAATTTTTTTTTAAATAATAAAAATATCCTTATTAAAAAACTAAAATAAAAAAATTATACATACATTATATATAGATTGATGAGGTGACAAAGAAATCAAAGGTTTCCTCAAAAGTTACACCACATTAATTGTTTGTTTGTTCCTTAAGCAAAAGAAAGTCAAAGATTCCTTGGCATGGGCGGCAAAATAAAAAAAAATTAGGATCAAGCTTTTTAAATTTTAAAACATAGATTGAGCTTAAGAAATTTATTTGTAATGAGTTTATTTTTTGTAATATGCATTTGTATATTTGTAATGGATCTAATGTAATAAGATTGAGTTTTCATATATATATATATATATATATATATATATTGTCGACACCCGTTTTCGCCCGGGAGTTTTTTTTATATTTTTTATATTAATTATATAACTATTATTATTCCTACTATTATTTGTATTTTTATTTTCACTATATTTCTATTTTATTTATTATTATTTT